TGACGGGATAAATTTTGGGTTGTCACACAAAGCTAGTGGGAACATAAGTGTTATGTGAGTAAGATAATAATTATTATGCTAGTGGGAGCATAATTATTATGGTAAGTGTTGCAAGTTAGCAATATTAGTTATAGAAAACAAAGTTTTCAATTCACAAAGTTGTAGGGTTTGAAAAAATTGTTTTGCTATAATTAAGGGAGAGGAGCTTATACTTCATTTTTCAATTCTAATAGATTAGATTGAGATTTTTAATCAAATTTATTCAAGGACATATATGAATGTTATGTTGAAAAGGTTCGGCATAAGGAAATTATGTATATGGAAATGTTAATTGCATTCTTAAAATTCAATTATGATTACGGCATGCCTCTTCATAGTTCGAATTGTGAGATCATGGAAAATAGAAATATTGTAGCAAAAGACTAATCAAGTATCATATCTTTATGTAAGGCATTATGAATGGTGTCCTATATGCTTCAGATATAGGGTCGATTTCATATGTTATAATATTCATGTGTTCTAATTTTCCAAATGTTAGGGCATTAAGAGGGAAAAAGGACTAGAACTAAATATGACTAAAGTGGTTAAACAACTGTCAAGGATAATCTAAAGTTCGCTAAGGATTGGTTGCTGATGGATAGTTGGAAATATAGCAATGAATGGACCATATTGATATAATTCTTAATACATGGGATTCTGTTATGAATGGATAGTCATATGGCAATTATGGAAAAGTTTCCACAATAGGAGTTGGATATCAAGAATACATGAGTAAGTTAGAAACTATTATGCAAAGAAGGATGTTCAAAGGAATGTACTTTGAAATTGATACTTCATCTCCATGGAATTGTCTTGTAGCAATCTCCAAAGGAATTTACAAAAGGAATATTTTCATAATAATTTAGAACTAACACATTCTAATAGTGGCAAGAATTTGGGATTCTTACACTTAAAGATTTGGACTTGTGAAATGAGTTTAATTGAAAATCAAGTTGATTTATTTCACAAGTAAGGACCATAGGTAAACATAGTGTGCATGCTTGGAGCATGGGATAACTATTGTCTTAATTCAAGTATTAAGTTGATCAATCGAAACATTATACAATGAATAATGAGTAATCAATATGGTGATTAAATAAAAGGTGTTCTAATTACGCTCAAATGTTTTGGGGCCATATAGGATTAGTATTATTTTTGTGTTTCACTTTGCATGTTTTGACTTCCCGAATAATAAGCTTATTAAAACCATCCACAGGCAATCATATGTTAGAAGTAAGTATTAAGAAAGACTATCATGATTAGGCTTGTAGATTGTCTAAGGCGTTAGGCATAGAAACAGTTTGATACACCATTCATGAGTACTTCTGAAATAAGATTTGAGTACTGGATCAACCCGCGCTCACTTGAATAACTTCATGGAATTTATCACGAATGATCGTGAGACGATAATATCATATAAGTCTTCAAACCTAGATATATGAGTTGTTGACTTTGAATTAATTGTGCATTGATGATACGAAAACACATCAGTAACTTGATGTTATAAAACGTATCGTTGTGCATGATTTAATGAGTAGTTAGTACAAGCATATAATGTCGAAGTTATTTGTTCCCTTTTATCCTAAGAGGATTAAAAGTAATATCTTGAGCCCCTCGATGATTTTGTTTTCAATTATGCGTCGGGCCCGGTCAGAACTAAGTTGATGAGTTCAGTTATGCTCTATGTCAGACGAATCGAAAATCGGGAAACAAGTTGCTGGACAATAAGCATGACCTTGGTCCATGTATTTTTCCAACTGATATCTTGAAAATAAAGGATGTGTTACTAACTGGGTCAGAGTTGACAGCGGCTTTTGAAAGCTTACTATTGCTAAGTTGGATCCTAAAGGAACATCAGCAAATATAATTATTAGACTTATCCAAGTGGGAGACTGTTGGATTTGGTGTCTAAGCACATAATTATAATTGGGATGTACATGATCCGATAGTAGCATGGTCCTCTTGGGTTGCCTTCACCAGTGCAATTTGATAGGATGGACTTTTGAGAATAAGGTTATTTAAGATTTATTAATATATTACAAGTATAACATATTAATATATGAAATCATGTTATTTAATTAGTATTGATCAAGAATTAATTTGGAATTAATTTTGTGATCAGAAAAGACTAGTTAAATATATGGGGACTGATTATGTAAATCAATGATTCTTGTAGTCTGTGCCAATGATCCATGATTATGTAGATAGGCTAAACTAATATATAGATAGTCCATGGAGGTTAAATCCATGGAGCATGAGAATATGGAAAGTCATGGGTCATTAGGGTTTTAAAAGTGTAACCCTAGCATTTGCCACACTATAAATAGAACCCTCATGAGTCAAAATCGGTTACACCATCTTTTTGAGATAAGTAACTTATTATCTTAAGCCTCATCTTGCATATTGGTGTTTGTGAACCATTAGAGGCATCACACTTGGGGTGCTCAAGCTTTCAAAGGTCAAGAACTTTATCCTAATCAAAAGGTAAGCATCCAAACTAAGTTTTATTATATAGCTTCAATTGTATGCTAGCTAGGGTCAATGCTTTGGAAAAACAAAATGTTTGTATAATTAGAGAAAACATAGATCCAAAGCATTTAGGGTTGCATGTGCACCATAGGAGTGTTATAGTGCTTAAAACCCAACACTTTATACATATGGAATTCTCATGAAACAAACCCAAAAGCCTAGATCTAAAAGAGGCCAAACATGATAGAAGCTTGATGCATGGCTCAAGAAGGACTTGAGTATCCACTCCTTTCACCCTAATGACTCCAGAAAGTAACTCAATATAATCTTTAAGAAAATAGTTTCCCTAAAATCCAAGGAAACACCACAAAAAGGACTAAAACACCACAAAATGCTAGAACTAGAAGCCTACATGCATGATGTTTGGATCTTGTAGACATACAAAGGTCCAGACGGTGGTAACAAAGTTGGAAAACTCTAGATCTGACTTCACAAGCACCTAGAACACCTTATTTTCTTTTTCCTAAATCAGAAGAACACCAAAAATCAAGAACACAACAATTGGGTGGCAAGGTGTAACTCCCGCAGATTCGGGCTAGTCAATTTAGAGATGATAAGCATTAAAAATGACTTTTTGATAGAAGATTATTTAGGATAACTAATCCGAACCAAAGTTATTTTATATGTCACAAGGATTTCGTACATATAAAGAACGTTGAAATCTGACTTATAACGAAGACGTTATGACCCATCGAAGTTTCGCAATTAAACCGACACGGCTTCGCGTATCGTAAAAAGTAACTTTTTGAAAAAGTAAATTTTAGCCTTAGAGATCTAAACGAAAGTCGTAGTAGATGTTAAACTGAGAGTGTGCATATAGAGAACGTCCAAAACTGACTTCATTTGAGGAAGTTGTGATTTTTCTAATATTCAGCGTAGCAGTATGCAACCTGAAAATCGAATTTTTGATCAATCGAACATTAGCCGACACAACCTAAACAATAATTAAAGATCTCATTAATAGGAGCTCAACAATATAAATACAGTAAAAAACGGACGTCGGATGACAAAGTTATGAATTTTTAAGGGAACTGACTTATGAAGGTGACTAACTATTGCGATTGTCCATATATAGGTAATGTTCATTTTTTTTTTTGTTCTCATTAATGAAACCAACTTGTTATTTATGTTCACATTTAGGTATTATGACCGGCTATCACCTGTTTTTGCTTATGTGGCAGCCACTTGGCACATTACTTGAATACGTTGCACCTACGTAGTATTGTGCATATATTCTCTTTGTTTACAGTATAAGAAGTCATTCAATTACACCCCTGATTTTGAACCCTAGATCAACGTTGACTTCTTCTTCCTCATCTTATTCTTCAAAATGTCAAAATGAATTTCAACCTGATCATCCATGTGATTGCAAATTACCATCTTGTGTGAAGACTTCAAGAACCCCTGACAACCCTGGAAGAAAATTTAGAGTTCGCCAAAACTCGATGGTAATCAGTATTGTTTAATACATTGCAACTTTCTTCTTCTTCATCTTGTTGAATACCCTTTCATTCTTCTTCATCCTTTAATTTAATATTTTTTTTATTTTTCTTCAAAAATGGAAAAATTCCAAGTTGTAAATTATGGCAATGGCTGGATGAGGATGATGGGAGGATAGATGGAAGAAAGCCTTACTGGAGGAAACCCAAAGAAGGCTGTAATCTAACCTTGAAAATTTGCACTTTGGAGAATGAAATCAGCATATGTAGGATGAAGATCGAACAAGAAAACAACACCAATTTGGTTAATAGACAAGAATTGGACAAAGTCAAGTGGAAGTTGTTTACTCACAAAGTAGCACTGATTTTGTTATTTGTATTGTATGTGAAAATGTTGTTTTGATTTTAGTTCAAGATGTATTAGGGTTGAATGATGTAGTTCATGTATGAAACTTGATTGGTATTAGAATGATGTAATCCACTTGTTTTTTTGTATGCTTATGTATGTAATGAATGGATGGAACTTTTGTTACTTGTTTTTGCTTCTCATGTTTTTGTTACATGTATTAGAATGAAAAATACTTAAACAATGGAATGTAATACAGTCAAACATGGGAATGTAATATAATCAAACATTGGAAGTAATATAAACAAACATTGGATTCCCAGGAAACATTGTTTACAAAACATTGGAATTTAACACATGTACACATGCATTACTGCCAAAAGGTACACACAAGATTCCAAAACTTACACATATGACTAGACACAAGTCCAAAAGCTACACATATTACTAGACAAAAGATTCCCAGTCAATGATGCCAAAAAATAAAAAAGTGTTTAATTCTAATCGAATTCGATTGTATTTTCACCAGTACTTCCCTATTGCCCCTCCCACTTCCTTCTTATCTGAATTTTTTTGATTCTTTCTGAAGGTTTCCTTTTTCTCTTTCCTTGTAGAACTTGAAATGCTGGTACTTCTTGCATATGCTCCTATTCCACTGGATCTTCAAGTGCAGCCTGTCCTTGGTCATCTTTTCCAACTAGATCTTGAAGTACAACAAGTTCTTTACATTCTTGACCTTCACCCTGTCCTTGAACTTCAACTTCAACTTGATCTACCACTACATCTTGGTATTCACCTTCTTCAACTTCAACTTGATCTACAACTGCAGCTTGGTATTCACCTTCCTCAACTTCAACTTCAACATGTGCTTCAACCTGTGCTTCAACTTCAACCTGTTCTTCAACCCCTCCAACTTCAACATGTGCTTCAACCCCTCTAACTTCAGCTTCAACCTCAGGTTGGTATACATCTTCATATGTATGATTACCCACTTCAAAATCAACTTCATAAGACTCCACCTCACTATCAGGCTCTCTTTGAACTTCACTGTCACTATCACTTTCCACATCTACTTCTTGAACCAATTCAACCTTCACTTTACCTGTTATGAAATAATTCAAATGTTAGCATTAGAAGTTGTTATAATGTAATCAAAAGGTAAAAGGAAGAGAAATACCTTCTTTTTTGGCTTTTTTTAATTTTTAACTTTGGCTTTGGATTAGATGATTCCCCAATTGGTTTTTGAGGACATTTTGCTTTGTTATGCACTGGATCTCTACATATGTTTCATCTCATAACAATACCCCTTTTTCAGATTGTATGCTTATTGCCCTTTAGTTCATTCTCAATCTGATCCCTTTTCCTTTTTGTTGATGGTCTTCTTGGCATCCTTCACTTTTTGGGAGGCAATGGCTTGATGTAATCCACATCAAGCCACATATCACTATCATTTAGTGACTTAATGGTGTACATGTAGGCACTACAAAACATTTTTGTGGTCAACCATGGTGATACATAGTCCTCTGGATCCCTATTGAGGTTTGAAATGGCAGCATATGCATGCACACAAGGGTAACCAGTTAATTGCCAACCTCTACATCCACATGTCCTCTTATGAAGGTCTACAACATATGCATCATCTAAAAGTCTCACTTCAAATTGTTGATAACCAGATGGTACAATTCTCCAAAATCTATCCACACACACTTAAATGTAAGTATACACAATTGAATGTCACACACACACACACACACACACACACACACACATATATATATATATATATATATAAGGTATTCAAGCACTAACCTTTGAAGTTGCTTAATCTTGGATAATTTCAGTCTAATGGCAGGACATATGTTTAAGTCTCCCCAAGAACTTCCCTTAATTTTTTGTCTATAAAGTCTCTCCATCACATAAATTCCAATTTCCTCTAACATAGTGATTAGAGATCTCTTCCTGGCAGCTCCAATGATTGAGTTAAAACTCTCAGATACACCATTTTAAAATGCATCACATGCCCTATCAATCTGAAAGAATGCTTTACTCCAAGTTTTAGGGTCCCTCTCCATTAGATGATCATAGGTAAGTGGTTCTATCTTCTTGAGTTTATTCATATGCTGCTCAAATTTAGTCTGGGTAGTAGAAGCAGCAACATACCAGAAAAGTTTACTGAACTGTTGACCTTTGAATTTTTTCATGAAGTTAGCACATATGTGTCTGGCATGTTGTCTATGCTCTGCTGCAGGCACCCTTTCCTTGATAGCCTCAAGTAATCCCTATTAGCATTAAAAACAAAACATAAATTTCAAATAAATTAAGTATTAAATAAAGAGAGCATATAAAATCATTACTTTGTGTTGGTATGATATTAATGTTAACCCATGTCCATTTCCCATTCCAATGTCATCAAGGAGAAGGTCAGCAAACCACTTCCATGTTTCCTTACTCTCCACTGCAACCACAACCCAAGCAAGAGGGTAGATATGGTTGTTTGCATCCCTACCTACAACAGAAAGTAACTGACCTCTACCAACACCTTTTAAGAACCAGCCATCTAGGCCAATTACCCTTCTACAACCTTTAATCCATCCATCCTTCACACCCTTTAAACATACATAGAAATTTGAGAAGTAAGTGGCTCCATCAGGCATGACATCTACATCAATCTTCACTATTGATCCAGGGTTGGTTCTTTTTAGCTCTTCTCCATAGCTCCAAGTTTTAGCATAGTGTTCCTATAAAGTACCCTCTATCTCCTTAAATGCATACTTCCTAGCATTTTTGCACTATCCCACACATGCAATCAAATTAAATATCTTTCTAACTTTAGCCTTCAATTTCCTCACACTCATCTTTGGTTTCTAGAGTATCCCATTCATGAAATGATTCCCTATCCATTTATAGCTAATAATGGACTCAAATTTGAAGACTTTTGACAAATTATGTTTATCAATTAAAGATTTAATCTAGAATGACCTTTCATTGCTCATCCAGGTTGCCCACAACCTAAAGGGACAACCTTTATTCTTCTTGTTCTTCTTACCTTTACAACATTTCACCAGTAATCTGTTATGATCACTTTTTTCATACCACAAATCATATCCATTCTTCACTGCATAATTGGTTATACATAGCTTCAATTGCATTGGGTTAGCAGACTTCATACCTATAATTGGCACCATCTTATCCTATTCTTGATTCTCATCATGGACAGGGAATACAACCTTATCATCTTTTCCATCATTATGTTCATCATCATCACTAAGCTTACTAATAACTGAAAGTTTGTTTAAAAAATCATCACCAACAGTTTTGTTAAAGGTATGGACTTCTTCATCAACTTCATGCTCATATGCGATAATCTCATCTAAGTTATCATCTTCATCACTATCATCCTCTTCTTCCTTGTGATCCTCTTCTTCATTGTCATCCGCTTCTTCGTTGCCATCTGATAACACCTCATTTTCATCCCAATCAAGGATTGGATCATTTTAGTGGTCAATGTAGACATCCAACTCAGCTTCAGGAGTATAAGTAGCTTCAACAAACTCCCAATAATCAGCATTACATTCGATTCTTATAATACCCTCACCCAAGGTTTCCTTTCTACTATAGTAGTACACATTATCACAACTTCCATTGGTTAAATTCCTAATCCACAAAAGAAACTCTTTGTATGTAAATCCTCCTAAATCGACATCACACACTTTTATATTTTCAGGGTCTAAGTATGTCAACGGATTTGGGGCAAATAGTCCACTGTAATAAACATCTACAGTTATATACTTACCTGTAGATGATTGGGATGCCATCTTACAGTCGACTTCAAGACGTAGCTTCAAATCTAATCTCTAATCTTCAATTTGATGGAAGGTAATTTTGGTGAAATTGAACTTGTCGAACCCTAATTAAATGAGAAAGGGGAGCAATGGCTACGTAACAGTCCATGTATTTCATTTTAACTGAGTTACATTGATGCAACTGGGTAAAATGGGTGAAAACAGGTGATAGCAGGTCATATTACCTAAATGTGAACATAAATAACAAGTTTGTTTCATTAATGAGAACAAAAAAAAAAGAACATTACCTATATATGGACAATCAAAATAGTTAGATACCTTCATAAGTCATTTTCCCAATTTTTAACGGACATTAACTAGCTAAGCTTGTTAAAATATAACTTTAAAAATAAAATCAAAATTAGCCGATGGAGTCTAAATAAAATTTGTAGATCACAACTCTACCTATGTATGGATATAAAGAATGTCAAAAACAGAGCTTGTATGCGAAAGTTACAGATTTTAGAAGATAACTAGTTTTGGATTAAAACCTCAGAGTGACACGTGGAAACATCTGAGCCACTACTTCTTCCCTCATGGCTTTGCATGAGATTGTGACAGATGGCAAGATTACACCCACCGTATAACTTAGACATCATCCACGTAGAGACAGCTTCAGACCAAAGATAAAGTGGAAGATTTTCAAAGTTAAGCATAGATCGAGCAGCTTCGACAAGTGTTCTATTGCGTCTTTCGACAACACCATTCTGTTGTGGAGTGTAAGGTGGAGAGAAGTTGTGATCAATTCCTTTCTCGGTGAGGAATTTCACCAGACACAAGATCATTCATGTATCGAAAGTTCAGATGAGCAAGCCTTCGGTGCCATAACCAACTGACGTCAGGAACAGCTTTGGAAAGAAGGCACAGTTGAGGTTTTCAAATGATCATGTAGATGTCGAGCGGGTACATTTTCCTGTTGCGATTTAACTTGATCAAGCATTCTTTTCTGTCTTCAGTCATTACGTAGCTATATTTCTTGCAAAATTCAACACGTCGATTTGATTCAGTGAGTTGAGCTCCACTTATCAGGTTGTGCCTCAGGTAAGCTACATAGGCTACATTTGAAATAGAGAATTTTCCATTTGTGAGGATGCCATAACCACGAATCTGAGAGTTGGAGTTGTTGCCATATGTCACGTAACCAACATTAGGAGAAAGTTTAAGATCTCGTAGAAAGTTTTTCTACCTTTTCATGTGCATGGAGCAAGCACTGTCAATATACCATATTGTCTCTTGCTCCGACGCATAGAGTGCCTACAAAAATTAGTGAGATGTGGAGTTTTTAGGCTCCAAGTTAGGTTTTGGGACAAAGGCATGAGTCTTGGGTTTTGATAGTGACTTCTGAGCAGCATATGGTTTGGAAGGTTTGTTCCTAGATTCCTTAGGAAACAAATATAAGGTCATGGTCCTTTCATCTATCTAGTAGTCATATTCAATGACATGAGTGTTTGGAACAGCTTTCTTCGGACTTTTATCTTTCGGAGTAGTGGGAACTACATTGACTATCGGAGTGGTTGTTTCATCAGTATGAGTTTCAACTTTCCAAACAAGGTTTTGTTTTGAAGATTTTGAAAGATTTGTTTTCTTAATACTTTTTTTGGTTGATGACACATTTGATTTTCAAAGTTGAGGTTTAAAAAGTGTTCCATCGGTTTTGCAATGAAAATAGATGAAACAGTCTGAGGAGAGTAGTTTCCGACAGATGTGGTGCTTACATTTGACTTTTGAGGAGTGAGACTGACCACTTTCTTTGGTTCTACAGGATTGGGAGGATTGGAAGGCCTCTTGAGAATCTTAGTGGGTGTGAAGGAGTTTTGAGTGTGAGTTGACGAATGACAATTCCGAGATACACTCATTTCGGAGTTCTTAAGGAATCTAGAATTTTGTCTTGACTTAACTTCCTTTTTAGAGCATTTTGGCTCCTTGTTTAGGAATAAGGACATCTTTTTGGTTCAAGTAAGGTTTCTTTCTTTGGTCAGATGCTGACTTGGAAGTCTGGCCATTTGATGGATTGCCAAACTTGGGCTTGATGGGCACCAAGGTTGTTTTAGAGGTTACCAAGAAATTTGATTCAAGAGAGTCAGAGGAGACATTGCTTGTAGTTTCAACGTTATCATCTAAGGATGCCCATGCAAACTCAGAAGTAATTGGTTTAGTTATTACTGGAGGAATTTTTTCCACAACACGTTTGTCAAGAGGATTGTGTTTCGGAACATAATCAATGAGATTTGAAACACAATGGTGGTATTTTGTCGTCTGATTCAGGTCAGGGTTTGTCAGAGGCGGAAGGGGCATGGAATCAGGACACTTGGCAACTATGGGTTTGAACTCCGGAATCAAAGATACAAAATGGTCAGAAGTCTCATGAAGGGGTGACAAGGGAGAAATCGGGGTATCCGAATGTTTATGGTTCGGAACATCTCCCATAAAGGTCAGGTTTTGTAACTCCTTCAAGGGACTAGCTACTAGTTTTGGAAACTCACTTCCGAGACCAAAAGCTTTTGACCAAGGATGACGAAATTTATGTGCCATTCTTTTATTTGCTTCAAGCAAGTCAATGGAGTTATGCAAAGCATCAATTTTGGCATTGAGACGTTTGTTATCCAAAATCAAAACATTTCTTTCAGAATAAGTGATTTCACATTTGTCTCTAAGAATGATACATTCATCTTGTGAAATTACAAGTTCTCTCTCTAAAGACTCTATTTTTAGTTTCTTATCCTCAAAATGTAACCTAAGATGACTCAATTCACTGTCCTTCTTCTCACAAGCTTCTATGGCTGACTCATAGGCTCTATAGATGGTGTCCATATCTGTTTGGATCTGGGTCAGATAAGATTCAGAGAGATTCATATCAAAATTATTATTAGTAATCATAGATGTTCCCTATTGAATGATGCTTCGACTTGGTGGATCCTTGGTGGCCATGTAGCAGTAGTTTGCTTCAGCAACATCATCTTCATCTTCATCTTCTGACCCTGAAGACTAATAGCCTTTGTTACACTCAATGGTTTGTCTCTCCATCAAACACATGTTCCTTCCAGTATTCATATCATCATCATCATCTCCGGATGACCAATATCCTTCCACATCTCTAGGCACAGTTGTGACAAATGCCTTTTCACTTTCAGCCATCTCTTGTGGTCATTGGTCATAGTAAGCAAAATCCTTGATTTATGGTTTTTGTGGAATGTCATCCAGACAATCTTTTGCAAAATGGTTCGCATGTCCACACTTATGACACACAATTTTTGGTTTGTCAGATTTTGGAATCTGCTGAGGTTCGGGGGTGGAGTTAGGTTTAGAGATGTTTGGTTTGTAGGCTGGTGGGTTTTCCGGAGTGGTTTGTTGTTGCAAAGCAGAGTAAGGTTGAGGATTGTTTTGATGAGGAGCGTAAAAGCGATTGTGATAAGGTTTATGAGATGGATTAAATTGACGTTTGTATTTCATAGAGAGCAGTGCAAACTCCGACTGAAAACGGATTTCAGAGTCCATGGCTTCGGAATCAAGAGTACCTTCAATAGGATAGTTCTTAGTAGATAGGATAGGTAAGGAAGGTTGAGCAGGTGGAGCAATGGTTTTGAGAGGATCGGAAATGGATGGATTTGGAATAGAGGGTTTAAATGAACTGACTAGAGTAAGAGGATCTCCGGAGAGTTCTCTTAAGGTCTGAGCAACATTTGATTCATGACCTTGCAGTTCATCAAATAGTTGATAAATCTTCAACTTCTTCAAAGATCCATTGCTCTGATGACAAGACTTCACATTTCCCCATCCTTTACCAAGACTGTTTATGAACTTTAAATTTTACTCTAAGGGAGTTCGTACAATCCCATGAGCAGTCATATTGTTGACTATAATTCAGTATCAGTTGGAGGCTGAGGCAACTGATTCACCAGGAGTTGTTGTAAACGTGTCAAACTCATTTACAACAGATGTAAGACTCTTGTCTTTCACATTTTATGAACCTTCGATCAAATCATGAAGAGTGTCACAAATCTCTTTGGCAGATTTAGACAACTTAATGTGTTCAAAGAGAGATGGTGGAACGGAAAATACCATTTTAGAGAATGTCACTTGATCAGCATGCAGCTTCTCAATATCTACAGTAGTGTGTTGCTCATCTTGACCCATGATTTGAGCAACAACATCTCTATCAGTTGTTCTAACTGGAACATGAGGACCTTCTTTGACGGGTCTCCAGATAGCTTCACCTTTCTCATTAGTCAGTAAAAATCTTTCCATTCTCACTTTCCAACGATCAGATTCTTCAACAACTAGCAGTGGGGCATGAGTAGAGCAACCCACGCTATTTGATATTCGCATTGAATACATTTGTTGAG